GAGAGAGAGAGAGAGGGGGAGAGAGAGAGAGAGAGAGAGAGAGTGAGAGTGAGAGAGAGAGAGAGAGAGAGAGAGACGTTGAAAGCTGTAGTAACTTTGAAGGTAGTAAACCGTATACACATCCAACGATCTCGTCGACGGTGCTGGACAAGTTCGAATTAGACGCGAAAAGACTACTTTTTCTTTTCGTAGAATTCGCAAAAAGATAGGTAAAAGATGTTCTGAGGGAAGCTTCGGCGGAATGTTTGGGGAAGTTGGTAGAAGAATATGACGCGTGTAGCTTATCGATCGATGGGATGATAGATTCGTCCAGAACAAAGAAGAGACAATTTTGGAAAGAGTGAAATCTTTCTTATTTTCTGGCAGCTTTAGAGAATTACCGAAGCTCGATATTGCTTCGAGCAATCCAAATATGCGTAAAATATTTATTTTATACGGAACCTTCGCGCGTGACAATGCCGTTTCGCGTTCTTTGCAAGGAAGAAGAAGAACCGGAGGTTCTTTACCTCCAACCGAAGGTGATTAGGAAGTGTAATGGAACAAAGACTTTACAAACAATTATAAACGAACAATTATAAACGCGAGAACGAATTGGTAAGACGCGTGCATTAATGTGATAGTTGTGTATTTATTTGAGAGAAGAATGAAAAGTGTATAGATAAGACTAGTTCAAAACGTTTCCTCGATATGCCAGAAATCATCTTAAACTGTACATTGTCGTACAGTTTGTAAGTATGGCATGTTAGCCAATTACGTGACAGTAGGCTAGAACGATTTGCGTTTTTTTCGTTTGAATTATATATATATAAATATAAATATATACATATATATAAATATACATATTACGCACGAGGCGCGTAACTTTGTGCATTATATATATCGCAATATAATAGTTATGATAGTACGCGAAAGTTAAATAGTAACTTGATAAGATCCAATTAAGAGCCTGCATCCTGACAGTATTTAAATTCTCGCAACAAAAAAACTGAAATATAAGCTTAATTTACAGAAGCGTGGATCCGCGTTATCTACGAAATCCATAGATTTGTTATTATGCGTTAAAAGTAACTTATTCGTCTAGGTTATTCTTCCTGCTTTTTCATTTTTAAATGATTTAGGCAAAGAAAAATATATCACGATAGATTTTTCGAATACATTTGGTAATGATCTTTGTAGATAACCGCAACCTTTTTTATATTACAAAGTGTATCGATTATCGCTAGTCAAGCTCTTTCTACTTATCGAGCCCTTTTTACAGGAAATAGCGCATTTCAAATGTTCAAATGTTCAAATGTTCAAATGTTTATTTGTAATTAAGTAGTTGCCGAAGCAGATTTTACACTACTCGCTATTGTTCTCCGATTCTAGTTTAAGAAATCGTACCGATCCGTCTTCGTGTCGCAATTTCTAAACGTAGGTCCATCTTAGCGATTACCTAGCGAGCTTAAATCATAATCGTACCAATATATAGAGGAAAGAGAAGAAGATAAAAAGGAAAGGCAAAGATGCGGGTGCCTTTGAGATCTTGTTCAAGCTAGTCGTAACAATTAATCCGTCATATGCAAGGAGTATGTAATAGAACTCCAGGATTAATTATGTTCTCTTTTTTTTTCTTGCTACATACGAGAGAGTCAGACATCGAAGAAGCCTTATTATACATACATTAAATAATGAAACGCAGAAGTAATTATATAGGGCCAAGACTAATAGGATATAAGTTTTTTAACGTCACGCTACTCATGGTAGGATGTATAACTGTTCTGCGAGACAGTAATTTGTACCCAATTGTAGTTTTCGAAGAAACGCACTATTTCTATTCGACTAATGGACAGACAATTGATTCGTGGTTACCGACCCGTCCTTGAATCATCTTTGTACAGACTATTTTCTCTTTTTTCTTTCCTTTCTTCAACTGCCTGCAACCACATTATACAAACAATTCGAGGGACACCACGTTGATCATTATTCGTCTGTAATATTTATCCAACAACGTTGATGATTCCTTCCTTCCGTAATGCTACAGTAACGATAGATGTAAAAAAAACTGGTCACACATTGTTAAGGAGTTGTGTAAAGTTAGTTTAGGAGAATTGCTTAACGTGTTCACATCCTTCATATCATGTTTCCTTGAAGAATTGTTTGTAGGTTGATGTAATATAATTTGTACTTTATTTGGGGAAAGATTGATTAATTACATTTACTACTACACCAAGTTATTGAAATAACACGCTGATGTGCAGAGATGTAGAATTGTTCGAATACCTATTTTAAAAAGAGTAACGATACGACTTACGAGAAATTTTTTCATAAGAAATAAAGTGATAAAAAGAGAAGAAAAATCAACCCGAAAAATGTGTAAAGTTATAATTTAGTCTAAAATACTCTAATCAAAACGATTGATTGAATTCGAAAATAAGAGAGCACAAATTTTGTTTCTTGATGAAGAACTCGTCAAGTGATAAAAATGATGCACACTTGCAAGTAATAAAACTTGTGTATTAGTAAAGTGATTTATTCAATCTAAGAATTGTATAAAGAAAACTGTATTTTACAGTGCAGAATTGTATATTTCGTTGTATATTATTTTCACTCGATAATTGTTATGTATTCATACTGATCTGTGTACTGTATTTACGATCTTATATGTATTAATTTAAACGTAATTAATAAATATTTCCATTTCGTAAAAAATCTCGTAGACAACTATCTTTATTTAAAATAAATAAATTTAAAGATTGGAAAGTCTTTTTTGTACCTTTTTAACTAAATATACGATTATATATTTCCGATAGTTTTAATGTTTCTAATGTCCAATCAAAAATATAATATACGTATGTATTATGGCCGACGAGGCACAGACTACACGCGATATTCAATGCTTTGTCGTGAACCATGTTTGGGGTTCACCTGACCCCCCATATCATTTTCTTGTCGCATGCAACGTTATCGATTCAGTATAGTGTGAAATTACAAGTAACGTATAGAATAGAATAGTTTGCGAAGGAAATATAGAATCTTATACTTCTGTAACTGTTGAAACAGTGATTTTGTGCAGAACATGTTATATTCTTAACATTTTCTAGTTTAAATACGTCCCGACTGCATAAATTAATGTTCGTTTTTGAAACTATTAAATGAAGTTATTTTTTATTTTCGAACTATTAAGTAAACCGAAAATCTGAGCTTTTTAAACAGTAATTTTTTAATGCGTTTTAATACAACTATCGAATTATTACAAATCGGCTTTTATTTTACTATTTTCTAATGAAAACATTTTTATCATCAATGGTACTGTAGGCGTTATAAATTCTCTAAAATGATCCTAGATGTCGTGGTGAAACGTTTGATCCATTTATCATATCTTAACGTTTTCATTCTCATTGTTCGCTGTTTTTATGTGAAAAAAGTTTTAGTTTTATAAACCACTGTAAAATGAATATAATGCATACGTTACGATTTAGCTGTCAAAGGAATATCCATCAAATTCGCCAATTTCACAAATGGTACGAATTATTATGTTGAAAATATGCAATTTAGTGAAACGTGATTGCATAACCTCACTTTTCTGGGTGTCTTTAAACTACTATTTAATATATAAAATACAGTTCGAATAATTACATCAAAATGATGTAACACAGTATGATGAAACAAGTTGAATTGTAAAAAATGATGTGTCTATTTTACAATAGTAGTTTTTGTAGTTTTAGAAAATGATCGTTCACACTCTCTTAATTTTATTTTAATTCTTATGTTTTAGTATTATTCAACAATCAGAAGTTGCAGCTGCTGCTACAGCTAGTACAACTTCTGTGTCTGAGTCTGTTTCTACACAGCAAGAACCAGTTAATGCTAAAATAGAGATGATCGCTAATCACATTGTTTCCTTAAATCTTATAGAAGTAGCTCAATTGAGTGACTTACTTAAAAAGAGATTAAACTTGCCAGATGCACCTGTAATGCCTATGGGTGGTTTTGTTGGTGCTGCACCAAAAGTAGAAGTATATATGCTGCTATTATAAGAATTTCGTAAAGTTAAGAAAAATTATATACTTATACATATATGCATAAAAATTGTCTTGTTTCAGGAAGAGAGTGAAGAACCTCAAATAGTTCAAACTGCATTTACTATTAAACTTACTGCTTTTGATGAAAAAGAAAAGATTGCTCTAATAAAAGAGATGAAGAACATATTACCAGATTGTAATCTTGTTCAGGTAACTCTTTTGCCTTATATATTGTGTACAACAAAATCCTATCAAATTGATTAAAATTTGTAATTTTTTTTCTATACAGGCCAAAAAGTTTGTTGAGAGTGTACCAGCTACAATCAAATCTGATATCTCGAAAGAAGAGGCTGAAAAGATAAAGGAAATCGTCACCAAAGTTGGTGCTATAGTTGAAATTGTTTAATTCTTTATGTAAATATATACGGAAATTCATCTTCTATGGATTTAATAGAATTTTGTAATAAAGTAAGCATTTACAGGGATCCATTAAACAAAAATAAAACAATTCCACTATTTTTATCATTTTATCAACTTATTTTCCATGTTTTTGCGTACATTGTTCATAAGTAAATCTTACAAGTAAAGATTAACATTTAAGTGTACATTTAAATTATGCTTTACACTATTGTTTTTATAAAAAATTTTAATAATTTTAATCATATAAATAATTTAGAATTGTACAGAAAACCATAATGTGAAATAAAAAACTGTGCACTTTAATATTCATTTATTTAATATTATCAATTGCATGTTTTCAAATAAACGTAATTTCCATTTCTGCAAATTCTAATAAAATCGGAAAAAACGATTAAAAAAATTTAATCGCGTTAATAAGAGTTGTTTCTTCGAACATTTGCAAATAACTAACATATTTTCAATATTCATTCGAAGTCCTTCGTTTAAATTAAAAGCACATGTATGTTAATAAGCTGATACGTATGCAAAGTACTGCATTTCAGCTAATCAGCGAATTGAACAACTGGCACTGCGATAAAAGCCGTATCGATAAAATAAGGACCGTATCAACTAACTAGTCGTCTTTTCTTTAATTACCAGCTAATGCCAGAAGAAGAATACAAAATACTTTTATCGAACCTAAAGTGTATCGCGTTTCGAGGGTATACATCTATATAAAATCTATTTTTAATCGTAGAACGGAAATTGTGGGAATTTTGCTAGTGTTCAGCGGCGGTGAACGGAAGTCGAATTGCGACGGTACTGCGCCACGACGACTATTGCCACGATGGCTGAGGAGACTGACACAAACGATAAAGCGACGATGGAAAGTATAGCGCAAAACATACTCGAGGTTCGTGTCAGCCGTGATCAAGACAGTGCGTGATAACGTAATAGTAGCTTTCGAAGTGTCGAAAGAAATTTTGCTACCGACAATACCCTATTATCCCGGTCTTTTTCGATCAATTTGACAGGTCAGTACCGGAGGTGGGTCTACGTCGAACGAAGTAGCCGCATTAGAGTTTCAAGCCTCGCAGGTGATATCAAGGCTCGAGGAAGCTGTCGAGAAGGCAGCAGACGATGGCGGTACCACCTGGAACAATCCCTCTGGGTTCCTCTCGCAATCAAAAACTGCCGACGAAATATTAACTTTAATTCAGGTAGGTAAATACGACGCTAGCAGAAACCATTGATTCGCGGCTATTGGTTGTTTCCCTTAGATTTGCATGTTAATTGGTCGGTATAGCTCTGATTTTGGCGAATACTCGTCACGTGGGTCTATGATTGTTACGAATCGTTTAACTGTTCTTCTAGAATTGGAAGCTGCCGCTCTTTTTTCAATTATTTAAATTGAACGTATCTGCCAAAAAATGTAAAAATTTTCAAAAATTTTGACCCATTCATGTCAGGGCTTCAATTGAACGTATCTGCCAAAAAATGTAAAAATTTTCAAAAATTTTGATCCATTCATGTCAGGGCTTCAATTGAGCGTATCTGCCAAAAAATGTAAAAATTTTCAAAAATTTTGATCCATTCATGTCAGGGTTTCATTCTCACTTTTCATATATGATTTCGTGATGTTCTTACAAACATGTATCGATTTGTATTTATCTTTTATTGGATGTAGTAATAGATATATTAATTGTAATAGGTAAACATTATTCAATTTTCATTAAAATATACGTAATTTGAGTTACACTCACGACCATGTATTTATTATAATACAAATATATTTCTTGTTCATACATATATATTTCTTGTTCATACACATATATTTCTATTTAGTGATTGTAATTATACTCTTGGAAAAACTTGAAATTTAATTATAAATCATGCTTATAGGACTTGGTAATTCACGAAGACGCTCCCCAACCGGTGAAAGATGATACAACGGAAACGGCAACGAGTCAAGTGACTACCTTACCAACATTAACAGAGCCAGCAAAATTAGCGTTAATCGCACACACTGTTTCTGCTTACGCGCTCGCACTTCCAAAATCGCATGCTCAGAGATTAGCTGGCCGATTGGCCGCAGATACAACCAGATGGCTAAGTCATATTTTCCGTTTCGTCGATTGCGCTTCTTCGTTTCACGAAGATCACTTGGAAGGTTTAGTCAGAGTGACCAGGTTGGCTTTACACAGGAAATATCCCCGGTATATGGAGGAAGGTTTCACCGCGCTTGCGGCCTCACCACCTTTAATTTACAGTTCTGTGGCCGCACCTTTAGGTGTGGTTCAACATCTGTGCAAACAGGTATATAAACTTACAGTCTGATTCACAAAAAATGTGGGCGTATAACCATAGATTTGTGTTCTATTTTTTAGCTTTCTTTGCCACTCCATTGTGTAAGACCCATCCCCCATAACACAATGTTTGGATCGCGATATAGCATGGACGTGTCAGCTTTGGAACGCCGCCTCGCGGAAGACACGCAATCAAATAGCGTGACACCGCTCCTGGTATTGGCAGAGGCGGGATCAGTATTAACGGGACACTGCGACAATATCGCTAGATTGCGTGCAATTTGCGACAAGTACAATGTCTGGCTCCACCTTAGAGGTCATTCTTTAGCCGCGTTAGCGTTAAATAATTCTGCGAAGGATCTGGTGTGTTCATATTTAGTATTTATTTCATTTTATCCTTTAAGGTTAAAAGTGTGTAATATACGGACTTTTTCTTGATTTTCAGCCTTCGAAGATCGCAGATAGTGTTACGTTACCTCTTGGAATATGGCTTGGTATACCATCACTACCAGTAGTAGTATCCTTTTATACATATATACATTCGGTTGAAAAACTGTTTAGGTATTGTTGAAATTTTCTTAATGTATACATAGACACTGTATAGATTAACAGATACGAAAGGTGGTCGACCTACTCCAAGAGACACAACTTTGTCTCTGGTATCAGGTTTAATGACAGATTCGTTGTCAAGACGTTTACCGACTTTACCCTTGTGGGCCACTTTGCAAGTGTTAGGTAGAGATGGTGTACATAATAGATTAAAGAGATGCTTTTTGGCTGTGGAAGAATTATACAATAAAATTAAGAAATTTTCTTGCATAAGGATACTGGTAATTGATCCGAACAATGGTATCCTGTTCCATAATTCGAATTTTCGTTCCAAATCTTACGGTTTGTTTTCCAGAGTCAACCACCTGGAGGAGAAACAGGGTCGTATACCATAAACGAGCTCCTAACAAACCCCGTGAATAATCCACAACTATTCGAAGCTGTAGCCAGTGCATTAGTGTTTCAATTTGTACCTGCAGACAGGGATCCACAGACAACAGAACGTGTTCCTCCTTATTACGATAAATTAAATTCCTGGTTAGGACAAATTCTTCAAAGAGACATTGAAAACGTACAAATAGAGCTGTGTGAAATAGAGCATCATGGTATTGCGATTCGTATTTGTCCTCTAGAAAATCCAGACCAACCTCCTACGACCGAGGATATAGATAACGTAATAGCTTGTTTGGAACAGCAGATAGTGAGTATATTTTAAAAGTGACGGTCATATGCAGTTAAGGTAGTGACAATTATTTGTCAACTAACCACTGCCATTTGCATAATAGGAAATATTACAGGCAACGGTCGAGCATAAAGCAACGTTCGTGCGATTAGTCTCAGAAAATGACTCTTTACATTTGGTAGAAATGCCTGATTGGGCAGGTTTAGGCGGTGTACGATACGCACCTCCTACTTGGATCCACGTCATGACTGATCAGGCAAAAGAGGAATTGAACAGATTAAACACGCAATTAGTTGAAGCTTTACGGAACACAGACGCGGCATTTTCTCTAGGAGAAGGCGCCGACGGCTTAGCTTGTGTACGATTTGGTATGGTTACACAAGATACAGGTGAGCAAAGATTTACATTTCTTGTCCCACAGTTGATTTGAGTTTATCTAGCATGTGGACTTGAAACAAAATATAATTTTTCACAGATGTGGCCGAATTACTATCCTTAGTTCTACAAGTCGGTCAAAAAGTAGAAGCTAGCTCCAAGCTATTGGATACTATATCCGAAGTGGTGAAAAGAGGTATCGAAGCAGCACAGACGGACTTGGAAAGAGAAAATGCAGAAAAATTATGGCAAGAAGGTATTCTTAGACACGTGCCTGTCGTTGGAACTTTCGTCAATTGGTGGAGTCCACCCTCGAAAGAAACTGGAGTTCGTGGACGTAGTTTAAATTTACAAGCCGGTACATACTTTATTTACACGTTAAACTTCCTTTACGTATCCATAATTAATTAATTAGTCAATGACATATTTTTCGCATCCAGGAGTTGTCGAGAGTACAGAGAATATTTACAAATACCATATGCAATTGCAACCAAACTCCACGGTGATTAATGGATCTGGTGCTAGAACTCCACCACAGCCCCTTGTACAGACTCCAGTTGGCGCTGGTAGCCAAAGTCATAGTCGTTCATCGAGCCATTCCAGTTTACAGAGCGGAAAAAGTATCTCTGTAATCACAAATACCGTACCCCACCCGCAGGTAAAAGAAGAATCCGGTGAGGTGAAGTCGTAGTAAACATTAAACGATACGATTAATCGAAGAAGATTCAGTTCGTTAAGTTCAAATCTCTGAACTTGACAAAGGAGCGATGCTCTAGGTGAAACGATCGAGCGTTTTCGGTAGAAGCTACCCTTTACATTCTCAGAGCACAGCAAAAGAATTAGCGTTTCTAAAGCGTTGAGGAGCTTAATAAATCGACAAAGGTAAAGCCACGCTGTCCTTTCTGTCGTTCTTTCTTCAATAAACTATTTTATGCTACTTTTCTGTCATCTTGGATTAGTCGTATTATTTTTTCTATTTTATCCGTTTTATTACTTTCATCGACAATTTAATTTCATGGATACTAGCAAGATCTATCGAAGATGGCTTGTGTACTTATTAGACTGATAATAAGCAAAGATGTTAATCTTACTACGAGTTAATTTGGCAACAAGTGATAACTGTTCCTCATTCATTAAAGTATTTCTCTCGTAGCACAATAATCAGAAGCGTATCTTCTTACTTTCATAACGCAACATGAAAAGAGTTGCCTTTAAATTTTTAGTTTATCGAATGAGTATCGATTTTACAACAAAACTACATAAATTGAACAGCTGACTATTTAAGTTTCCAACAACAGTGTTTTACATCGATATGTACACATACATTCTGAATAAGTTTATCAATCAAACTTAAATTTTTCCACATTTTACTTTACAGACTACATTTTTTACATTTTATTTGCGAGTTCTTTCTTCATGAAGCACAACATACATTAAGAACGGAAAAAAGACACATACATAATAAAGTCGCGATTGCTTCGAGCATTTAAAAAAGAAGGTATTACGCACGCGTTGTAAAATTTATTCGAGAAAATTAAGCTTTTCTTTAAGCATCTAACAAAGCGTGTAAAAAAAGAAGGAAAATCAGAACAATGTTCCGATATTAGAACGATAACCAAAGAGAGAGAGAGAGCGATAATGTAGAGTTACATTCAAGAAATTTGGATTGTTACGATGTAATAATGTGTAATTTGCAACGGAATAGGAATTACTTAGTTCTGTTGTGTTAAAAAACCATAAGAAATACGTTCACATTATTACAGTATTCGGTAAATTGTTGATAGCTACATTGAATGGAAAGAAATTAAATTATATGTATATTTATGTACCAAAATTGTTTTAATAAAGTACTGCAATTCAATAAATGATCTTAACATAACTTCAAGTTTTTGAGTGCTTTTTTAAATTGAAATTAACATTTTTTTAAAGATATAGAACATTTCCTCGAAAGGGACAAAGGAATCTAGATTGTTACATGTAATTAGGAAATTACGTATAGATGGCATTCAAGAGAATATAAGATGTAATTATTATATCTTTTTTTTAACGACTTTTTAAAGATCCAGGACAATTTTCCATTGTTTCATCGATTAAAAATCAAACATCCATCTAAAAGGAGTATGCTTTGTACAGATTATACACCGTAGAGGGGGCAGTGGTGTTATTTAAACGTAGACAACGGTGGATCTTATGTCTTTTTATTTTCTCTCTTCATAATATTCGTGTTACCATTACAATAGGAGGAATTAAGTCTGGAATATGGCAATTAGACGTAATTCGCAATGCACAAAAACGGTATCGATTAACGAGTTTCGTTTTGCTCTTTATATATGCCTCTCAAAGAATTCTCTTTACAATACACGCTTGAGAATGCATCTTTCCGCGCGTACAAAAACACCATAGAAATCTTAAACTTACGTAAAATCTCAATAGCCTCTGCACACTTTGTGACTAAACCTCTTTCGTACGTCGAGAGAGAAGAAACACAAGAACAAAGGGGCGATACCCTCTATTATTTTCGTGAATCGATATTTCCAAGGTCCAAAGATCTCAGTTGCACTTCATTTTCTTTCTTTTTGGTCGAACGAACGAACGAACGAACGTGTTCATCGATGTACACCGAACGATCGCGTTAAAATTTCTTTCATTCGAGTGCGTACATTATATCTTGAACTGTACAGTGTGTGCAATTCGGTGCGATATTTCTTTTTCCCAACAAATCGACTGTTTCTTAGCTGTAATTTATGCGTGTAAGATATAAAACGATTATTTATTAAATGTGATACTAATCGATTAAATGCTGTTTGATATTCGAATAGATAGTATTGAGAAGTTCGTAAACGATAATTTTACATTTATTGCTGAGATTTGATCCGTGAAATCATACACACTGTATAGTCTATTATACGAACAAAATTTATCGAATCTAAACTTTCTAGTTCTAAGTGGCGAATATTTCTCGCGCGATGTTTGCGTCGAACGAATATCAAGTTTTTCAGAATTTCAGTTTTAATTAAATTAAATTATCAACGAAAATTCGTCAATATCCGTGTTCGAAAGAAATTGTGATTATCGTGTTAAAGGATCTATTTCGTGTAAAGAGAACGTGCGCGTTCCAACAAGACGTTATCTCATTGGAAAACGACACCTTTCGAGAATCGATCGTACATTCGTCATGGATCCAGCTTTGGAAAATTAGCCCTCGTGAAAATCGAAACGTTATATCGTTCGATAATCTTGACGTTTGATTTGTTTTTCCTTATCATCTAATCTCATTAAAGGTTCTTCGTTCAATTAATTAAAAAGTTTCATAGGCCAGAACAATGCACCGATTAGAGAAGATTTTTTTACGTCCTATATTCGTACTATATTTCCACTATATATATCAACGCCTCTGAAAATAATTAGTTCTCTCTCGCTCTCTCCCTATCATACATTCGTACGCATATAACTCTCTTTCACGCCACTTACACTGTATCAAAATGATGCGAAAAATTAAATACGGTTGTACTCATCGGAAAAAGTGGTTCTCAATTTGATCTCGTGCAGGTTGCTGCTCGATACAATGATACAAATTGACAAAGGATTAGAATTAAAGTTTCGTCAACGACCATCTAGACTACGTGCACGTATATTTAGAATTTATCGATATTTTCGAGTCTCTCTCGCGAATCCGTGGATCTGCCCTCCTCTTTGAGAGACGAGGATTTACTCAGACTTTCGTGTCAGGCCGATTCTGATTAGAACATACAAAGATATTTTCGAGAAGAAAATACAAGATAGTCTTCCCTTTTTATCATACGATCTTCTCAAATCGTGCAAAGATATTTGTTTCGTAAATCCGGAAAATACCGTGTTGATCCCGTTTGCGCGTTTTTTTAACAGTCTTGAAGACGACAGAGACTGGTCAAGGTTTTTCTTTCGACTGTCTCGCGTCGACTGTGTTCATACAGTGTCTTTCTACGTTAACTCTTTATTCTTTGCTCCCCACTTTTGTTTAACCTACTAGAACTTAAATACTCTATCATTTGATTAATTAAAAATTTTAAATAATACTCGATACTCTCGATACTGAGCGACAACGATGCGATGGAGTCAATAAAATATACGATAGAAAATAAAAATACTTTTTATTTTTAAATTATTCGCAAAGAATCTCTAGTTAATCTTTATTAAAATAAGACGAAAATAAAAATATATACACTTTTACATAAAAAGATATTGCAGTATACAAGATATATATATATATATCTATATATATATATATATATATATATATTTATATATATATATTATATATATATTATCCAACCCCATCGTATCAGCCGAAACTCAAAAGGGACATATGAAGGTCATCGTATGATGTCGCTCGTGTTTTGCTTCACGTACTCGAGATTACTAACTTCGCTTAAAATCTAAGAACGACGAGAAATTCATTTGGATCCAAAGATTTTCCCTTGCCAGCTAAATTCTTCCTCATCGATAGTTAATTAAGTAGAATATTTAAAATTAAGGGAAATACATCAATTCAAGGTATAACGAACTCTTCTAAAAAAAAAAACGTTTGAAAAATTGAGCCATGTGGAAAGGTTTTGGCAAGAAACTCTGTCGTATGCAACTGCCGGACAAAGTCGAACGTGTACGAAAAGAAAAACCTTTGTTTTTCTCACTGACTAGGATGTTCCTTTTCTTCGATAAATTCAAGAAAACGAAGTTCACATATACACACACATACGCACGCTCTAATTCGTTTCCGATCTCGTTCGTCGATTCGATCTTAAGATTATGATCAATTAATGACTAAATCTATGTGTCGCTATACTCTAATATTATCCAACCCCATCGTATCAGCCGAAACTCAAAAGGGACATATGAAGGTCATCGTATGATGTCGCTCGTGTTTTGCTTCACGTACTCGAGATTACTAACTTCGCTTAAAATCTAAGAACGACGAGAAATTCATTTGGATCCAAAGATTTTCCCTTGCCAGCTAAATTCTTCCTCATCGATAGTTAATTAAGTAGAATATTTAAAATTAAGGGAAATACATCAATTCAAGGTATAACGAACTCTTCTAAAAAAAAAAACGTTTGAAAAATTGAGCCATGTGGAAAGGTTTTGGCAAGAAACTCTGTCGTATGCAACTGCCGGACAAAGTCGAACGTGTACGAAAAGAAAAACCTTTGTTTTTCTCACTGACTAGGATGTTCCTTTTCTTCGATAAATTCAAGAAAACGAAGTTCACATATACACACACATACGCACGCTCTAATTCGTTTCCGATCTCGTTCGTCGATTCGATCTTAAGATTATGATCAATTAATGACTAAATCTATGTGTCGCTATACTCTATGCACTTTATGCACTTTAATAAATATTACAACTATGTACAATGGATCAAACGTGTTTATACCTAATCATGCTTTTTCTACCTACACCGTTTCTATGCTCGTTGCGAACAGTGAACGTAAAATCGTATTTCCTCCTCTAAACTCTCTTGATAATATCGTGTAAACGTAAACGAATAGTAAAACATTTCTTCGGTAATGGCGGCTCTCCTTCTCAGCGATATCGCCGCTCGTTTCCCCTCCCTTGTTCCTCCTTACAAGCGAAGAAACGATAAGAAACGAAAGAAAACGGCAGAGGAGAACGATATTATCTCTGTGTAAAATTTGTAACACCTAAATTTAAGTTATATCACACGTACATCTTCTTGTTCCTTCTTCCTTTTTCATTCCATTTTCTTTTTTTTTTTTTTTGTTCTTCCTCGCATTTCCTCGGCAACCTTATACGCCTATCGTATTACTGCCTATTTACACACGTTTTCGCTGAATAGGATGCGGAATATAAAGTCGTCCGCTGGTTCGTTGCAATTATCTTCACCAATCGCGAATGATCTCGTTCGGACACCTTCAACTAGGAGTACCGTTACAAGGAAGACTTTGCGCTCCGCAAATAATTCAATCTCGACTTTTTGCTTTATTTCCTATTCGGTTGAAAATCACCGATATTACGAAAACTTTGTTCTGATCGACGAGAATACCATCATCGAGCAACGATAGTTGCTTCCAATATATTTGCGAATAATATCTCACTGAACTTTTTAAACAGTAAATATACAAAGAGAAAGAAGAGAAAAAAATGTTCTGACTGTCGATAATTCCTTCGTTCAAATTTTATGATCTAAATTAACATCGTGTGTGTGTGTGTGTGTGTGTGTGTGGGAGCGCACGCGCGCGCGTGTGTGTAAATCATAGATTAATTGGTATTCTCATCGATCTATCCTTCAAGATCCCAACATCCCTCTGGCTCGAAGGATAAATTCGTGAAATGCAATCTGGATACTCGATATCGATACACCAGATGATTCTAGAACTTTCGTCACATATAAAAAATGAAAAAAGACCTGACGTACATAACGCTTGCGCTTTCACCGTGTTTGTACTTAAAAACGTATGCTTGCCTGAGTATTGGCAGAATTTTTTGTTTCTTCTTTTTAATCCGTTTCTTCAACGGTTATCGTTAGTTTTCTCGTTTCGGTTCATCGTGATGTATTTTGCGATAGAAATTCACGAACACTCATCGTCTCGTTGCGAACTTTAAATATTAACGTTGATAAATATACATACACATATATATATAATATATAATATATATATTTATATATATATTTATATATTCATATCACTCGTTCTGTATTTCGTGCGGTAACTTCTTATGTTAATATGTATATACTTATCTCGCAAACGTATAAACTGTATACTGAGATGGTTCACCGAAAAATCAATGATAATTCTGTCTCGTGCTTTCTTCGATAAAAAGTATACAAAAGTATATAAAAATTGTGTCGTGGAATATCGTTTACATTTGGTATAATCGCCATATAATTCGTGTAAAAAGTTGTTCAAAAAGTTTCATCTTTACAGCTCGGTACGATATCGTTAATTTAAAAGGAGACGGAACTGAAATGTCGGAATGAGATGACTTTGCGTGGGCGAGTAACGATGCACGTAGCTTAGAACGATTATATATAAGAGAAAGTAGTAGGCCACGATAACGACTAAAAATTAACAGCATAAATTATCTCCATGAACATGAAACGTTCAAACGGAACTTAACAAATTTCCAGCATCTTCAAAGATGCCTGATAAACGTGTTCTCTGCATCTTCCTTGTAGGCGATTTATACATACTAATACTTTATGTATACAGTTGTGCTTTCTTGTGTGATGTTAATGAAAATGAATAATTAACAAGCAATAATAAATATGGCAATCAACTTCTTTGTTCGCATAATCTATCATTCGTCTGCTCGATCAAGAAGCAATAATCATTTACAGAATAAACTAACGTAGAATGATAAGAATAACTGTACATGATATACAATTACGAAGTCTCGGACATACAAGACTTCGCAGATCTAAATATTCATTGTTTCGAACAAATAAACGATAAGAAGAAAAGTGATCGTATTAGTGTTCTCCAAGTTTCCACAGGAAAATTCCATATAGTAATATTCATGTAAATATACTTCGATTATCAATGTAAATGAATCCTTTTTACCTTTTCTAATCGCTTTTCAATTTCAGCGCAAATTTTTACAATGCGGTATACATCATCCCGCTGGTGATCTTTCCGATTCTAAAATTCTTTTTTGCCCCCATTTTTCCTAACTCACATTACTCGCCGACCTTCTCGATTGGGTCGCCACTCCTGCTTGCACAACTATCTTCGTCGAAACTCTTACACGTTGGTATAGCAATTCCTTTATTGTTTTTCATCCTTTTCGTTTGTGAAACTGATGAGAAATATTAAATGTGCGAATGGTTATCGTATAGTTACAAAACATGTATGATCTTACTCTTTCTCCCCTTTTGTTTTGATTCCCCGAAAATTCTGAATATCGTTGCGGAAAGCATGGGTGAAAACTCTAGCTGCGCAGTTTCCACCGATTGTACTCTTAAAACGTAGACCCTTTATGAAATCTTACGTTTAAACGTATATAAATGTTCGTGATTCTTATCAAAAGTTACCAAACGGTTGAGCCATTCTTCTTCGGGTTTAGCGTATAAAATAAGAACGCATATATGAAAATATGCACGTTGGTGCTTGGTCGCTTTCAAAAGGAGTCCCTTGGGACAATGATATTGTGCATTGACGATTTAAATTTTTTAATAGACATTGAATGAAAGTGACCACAGCGAACTTTCCATCGGACGATATTCCAAAAATCTTAATAATGGCAGTTTTTATGCGTTTGGTGTGTCGTTTGATTTTATAACTCTGTTACGGAGTACAAATTGGGATCGCTACCCTGTACTTGACTCAACGTCGCCACCGTTGACTTGTTTTCTTGCCTCGATTGCGCTCGATTGTACGTTCCGTACATATTTGGTACAGCATTGTTTTGCGTCGTACCGTTGAACTGATTCCTAGTGAAATTTCTATCTAATGTTCGCACCTGATCTTGCATTTGGTCTTGAATCCGAATGTTTGGCGTCTTGTTTCGCACCAGGGATCGAAATTGATTCATATTGGTCTGCGAACGAGACTCGAACTCCCAGGTCGGTTGACTACTGGGATTTGGTGGCAACGGGCGATTCTGATTCCAAGCTGGAGTCGGGCCTCTTTTTAGATTCGCTAGATTCTTCGGGTCTAGAGTCTGTGTTTTGCGAGAGTCTTGGAACGTGGCCAGATGAGCAGGTCCGTGAGAGTTGTGAGACAGGGTACCGGTGAAGGACGCCACGCTTGGTGTCCAAGGTGGTTCTCTACCTACGATTCCAAAACAGAATCTTCATTTCAAAATTTGAAACTTGTATTTAAATTAAAGAAAAGATTAACAGTGAAATTACCGGGCCCTGCGGGGGCGTGCCCTCAGTAAAAGTCACTGGACTCGAGGGTCTTGCATTGTTTGCTCAAAGTCGCGTACTGGCCAGGTTGATCTCCGAGCCCAGAACGGTGCTCAGCTCGTCCACCTGTCGATTGCTGATTATGCTGAGACGATTTGTGATCCCCGCCTCCTCCGCTCCCGTTAATACCCCCACCTCTGTAAATGGCAAATCGAAACGAACAAAGTTGCAGCATTATCTTTCTCTCGGACGGTTCTCTGATGTCTAATTCCTATCAAGAAAACTCTGTATCATTCGTTCATCTCGTAAAATAATCTAAACATGAACGTTATGAAAAATGAAAACACGCGCAAAAGCATACTATCGCTAATGTTTTCATGTATAGAAAAAAGGCAAAAACGAACTCTCTTCCTTGCTTTAAACATCGATTAGAAAAAGTAATGGAGAAAATTGAGAAACATATCTATATGAATATTTAAAAAAATTTGAACTGACAGAATGCTGTAAGAACACCAAAGAGGAAACCAAACGATTGTACAGTTATTGTCCTGAAATATAATTGGCGATAACCATGATTAATTCGTCTTCAAGCGATTATGTGATTTCGTTCATTTCATTGTAAAGGTTGAAAGATCAATAGCTGTACCATATTGTTTGCATTATTGCCACCAGAGTGTTGTGAACAATTAAAGCAACATTCAGACCTAACATAGTATCTATCGACATAAACAAATCACATCGTAAACCGTAAACTGAATTGATTCAACACACTGGTAAAAATAGAAAATTAATGCATCTCATAAAATCCAATAAAAAACACATCGTCTATGTAAAGCGAACAAGTAAAGATTTGATGTAACATCTGTACGTTCGTTAATATGAAATAACTATGTAATTCACAATTGATCCGTTTAAAATTTCATGGTTCTCACATCAAGTCTTCAATTTGATGACAGTTATGAAAAGGGATTAAGTGCCAACTTTTTGTACTAAACTTAATTTAACACCCATCGCATGATCCGAAAGAACAATCGTCATAAAACTAAATCCCACTTCAAACCGCATCGTAAAATTAATTTGACGAACTGTCGCAGTTCACTTAACGTTCAACCTTTATCGTATTAAATGCAGCTCCATAATTACCCCGTTTATGAAGCTGAAGTTTAATAATCTGGTACTACTTAAATTCACGTTCTTACTAGCCCACTTACGGTCTTCCCATTAACTCGAAATTATGGCTTGATAACTTCCACGTTAATAACTATCTTCGTTGAGCGTTCTCCCCCTAAACCGACGTTTACTTGAGAAACCGGAAGGTTTCGTGTACGATAAAGGTAGACGACAGCTAATAAATGAAACCGAATAAAATCTCATGCACAAACTTTAGCATGCTCTCGTGCAGCTGACGTGCTCGAGCAGTCGCAGTAGCGTAGGACGGCGGGGGCGGCGTTAGCAAGAGAGGCTGCTTAATGGTATTTTGAGTGCCATGAGCATTCGGATAAAATACAGAAGGGGCTGTAGGCGGGTACGACCCTTGGCCTCGAAGGGTCCGCGC